CTGTTGTGGATATTGTCAAGGCAGACCATGAAAAGAAAAATAATTACTGTTATTGTCAAGTCAATTTCTTCATAATTTGTTATAGTATTTATCTTTGACTTAATAAGCAAAGACCATTGTTTGATGAATTTATCATGATCTTAATTAATCGGGAACGTTTATTTTTGGCTTTTTATTGTCAATTACTCAAAATATTGGCTATGAATTTGAGAGGTTATCATATTTGTATGTATGAAAAATTTACTTTTTTTTATATTTAAATTCATTATTTCTTCATGGTAAAGGGCTATTTTTTAAATGAATTCTTTTGAGAAAGGGAGACGGTTATGCAAAAGACAAAAGCAAATCCAATAGATTTGAACACTTTATTTTATTTTATTTTATTTATTAACTAATATGAAAAATTGATTTAAATAATAAAAAAGTGAGATAATCTCTTAAGGAAGGCAAGAATTATATCTACGTGGCTTATAATGACGGATGGAGTCAATATTTCTTTAAATTCAATTTTAATACAGGAAAAAAAAAAAGAATTCCCCATTTCCTAATTGACCGTTGCTTCCCCACAAAACCCCATCCATGTGCAAAGAATTCCCAATTTCCTTCCTTTTTTTTTTGTTGGCCTTTTCTTTTCCTCCAAACATTAAATAAATCTTCTCGTTGAATTCAATAGTTCTTATCCAATCAACATCTTTCCCACAAGACTTATCTAATTTGGTTGGTCGTTGCCTCGTGTTTCGTCACTTGGGCTTACCAAATATAAAGAATTTATGAATATTCCAAGAAGAGGGGTCATGCTTAAATGCTCAATTTGCCTTCCTTCACCTCTCAAATCTACCTGTCTCTGCTCTCCACCTACAACAAGGAAGGATTGGTTTTGGGTGTCATTTCCTTACAAAAGGGGGTTTTGGGTCTTTTTGATTGATGATATTTTATTAAATCGAAGTGTTAATTAACAACTATATGGGTGACTAAGACGTGATTATTAGTCTTGATAATGCGGTTTAGAAAAGAACACATCTCCCTATGGGGGAGGGGGACGGGTTTTGATGCCTCGATCTTTTGGAAGGTGCAAGAAGAAATAACCTAACCCCCCCTAAAGCAAAAATGACAGTATTCATTTGGAATTATAATATATTTGAGCAAAGGGGGTGTTGCTGGTGAGACCAGGGCAAGCCATGACAAAGCTTCTTTTGGAATTTGTATGACCTTTTTGCCTCTAAATAAAGATTCATAGCTTTTTTCGGTTGGCAAGTCAGATCTCTTCAAACAGCTTTAATATTAGTATACGGCATTGTCCATGGCTGATTTGAGTGACTGAGTAAAATGCTCACCATGTATCACGGATGACAAAAGTTATTTCATACATTCCTTTTCATTTTGCTTAAATTTCTTTAAAAAAGTTTTGAAAAGAATGATTAAAGTTTTCGAGATCGTTATCAATCAATTTATCGAAGTTTTCTAATGATATAACAATCTAACGATAATTACACATATTGATCAATCATTCAATATGATAAAGATATCATATTCGAATATTTTAACTCAACAATAACTTTTATCATATTCGTTTCTTCAAAAAATTATACTTCGATTTTATTTTTATCATTCTACATTTTCGAATAAGGGATTAGTATGAGTATGAGTATAATTTTTGTGATGAAAGGGACTCATTCTGGGTACCATCTCAAATCTTTCAAAGAGAAAGGTATCTAATCTCAAAACTGTTACCCATCGTTATCTTTTAATGATGGGGATTTGCTGCAACTTGCTATACATCTGTTTTGTCTGTAATTTGGCAGCAAATACAGCCACAATCCAAAGGGTTTCTAATAATTTTTTTTTTTTGAACATGAACTAATGATTGAAACAACGAACTGCAATTTGCAAACATGAGAGACATTACTTTCAATACTGTTCCTTGAATAAATGAAGTATACGAAGTATATAGATGTGTCCTTTGGATGCATCTCAGCAGACTTTTGTGCACGAAATGAAGTGCCTGTTAGAGGGATGAGACATACATGGTTGGCTTCATGTCAAACAATAATGATAAATAACAAGTCACATCTACATTTTAATTGCAATTTGCTTTCCCACTAGCATGAGATTAATTCAATTTTATTCATTTCTTCTCTTTTTTTAAAAAAAAAATTGTAAGGCTTTAAGGGGTTCCATGTTCATGATTTGCATAAGGTTATTGATTAATTTTCTACTTAAGGAATTAAACCATTTTACTAATTATATCTTGATTAGCTTTCTTGTTATGGCAAGTAGGCAGCATTATATGCAAATTATGGAACTGCACACGTGTAGTCATTAACTTATTACAATCGTCACTAATGACTTCATTTAATCTTCGATTTTTTTTTTTTACCAAACCATAAGAAGAAGAACTTCAAAAAGAAGTAATAAGTCTTTTCAAGATCAAGATCTTCTAAAGAAAACAAAATTCAAACTCATCTCTTCTGGTAAGATAATTACACAAATTATTTTGTTAAAATTATACTATAATACAAGAGTTATCTTATTGTAACATGATATCATAATTTCAAATTCAATAAATTAAGATTTTCCTTTTGTTTTTTTAACCATTTCAATTGACAGTCAGCCAATGAACATGGGTCTTTGTTGAATAATCTTTTTAAGTTTAAATTAAGATTTAAGATACCTTGTAAGCTTAAAACATTGATTTGTTAAATACTCGTAGCAGTGTTGATGGAGACTTTGCTTCGTCTTTCGAATCCTTTCCCTTCCCCTCGGACCAAATATAAATTCTTCCATAAGAGTAGGTATTGGCCGACGGTTTATAAAATAATTAATCTCGTTTTAGTGTTGAAAAGATAGTTAATTGCTTGTGTTTTAAGCTGATTACAAGTTTATAATTAATATTTTTCTTTTCGGTTTCACTAGAATCTTATAGAAATGTACTTAACGAAACTGAATTAGTTTCTAACATGAAGAATTAAAATGTAATTAAGCAGAGATACTCATATTGATTCTCATACAACACTGGAGGAGCAACAGCTTCTTCAATTTAAGCAAAACCCAAAAATCAACGAGTGTATCTTTGTTGTAGAACTGGTTTGAAAGTTTCAATCAAACTGAAACTTGGTTGGGTTTGGATATTTTTAATTTAAATTGAGATTTTCCTTTGGATGCTTCTCATACCTCTGGCTGTAGAGAATCTCATGCTGATAGTTGAAGAATGGAGCAAGAAATAAATTTGGATTGATCTAATTTTAAAAAATAAAAAATAAAATGGCCCAACTGCTTACATAAATTATACCCTAAAGAAAAGAAATTTACTGAATTTGGAGTATAATATTTGCATATCAATATTCAAAATATTTCATAAAAATCATTCCCAAACAAAAAAAAATATTTAAGACTACAAATGTAATCATAATCTAAAAAAAAAGAGTATTTTTTGGGTTACTATTCTTTTTTTTTTTTACTCTCATTGAATCTAAAAATATATTGAAATTAAAAATTTTATGTTGATTATTATGATTTTTTTTTTAAAAAAAGGTTTATTTAAAAAGGGATGGAATGCGGATTGTAGCTTGCACAAATTTACAAAGGGGAATAAAAAATGAAAATAACATTTCATACTATCATAATAGAGAAAAAAGAAGGCGGTGACGTGCGGCATTGTCACTGTCCAATGATCCAATGGGAGCATGTAGTGGCCCAGTTTTAGAGTCGTTCAGGACAGTTGTTTGGAAAGTGGACAACCTACCTACTTTTGCTCGCATGTGCAGCACAAAGCCCATGCGAACCTTTACCAAATGGGTTCGAACATTCCAAGAACTTGGGCGAACCCTAGAGTCTGAAACCACACCCAAATCTAATTTGCCCTGCTTTTGTTTTATTTTATTTTTTATTTTATTTATTTCAAGTCTCTTGTCTTCTTTGTTGTTCTTTCTTTAGAGAAAAAGGAAAAGAAAAAAGTTCACAAAAATCGAGGCTACGGATTCATTCATACTGAAAATTAAAAAAAATTATTTATTTTTATTTATTTATCTAAACTGAGCAAGCCGACCATTCTAAGCTGTGACTGCGCTGCACACGTGCAGCATACAAGATGCTTTTATTTTTTCAGTATGAAAGGCTCTTTTCCATTTCCTTACTTTTTAAAAAGTGTGTTTCTTCTCTGACCAAGAAACAAAAAAAAAAAAAGGTGGGTTTCTTTTTTAAGGGTCCAATAGCAAGATTTCATTCGGAAAAGGTCAAATAAAAAGCAATATATATATATATATATATATATTTAATCAAGGTCGAAGAACACCCACATCCCTTTAAAAGTTGGTTGCTTCTATGACCATCTCACCTGATTCATATTGCAGTGTTACATCAATTCATCAAGCCAAAAGCAAATATATATTAATGTAATCTTATTTTTCAAAAGTAGGATTATCTTAGAATATATCTCTCAAAGACTTATAGAAATCACATTCTTTTTTTATTATAAGAAAATGCTGCCCAAAGATGGAATTTTTAAAATATTGAAGAAATAGGAACAGCAAAGAGAGAATAAAAAAAGATTTAAGAAAACCACTCATAAGTTTGGGCCAGGTTCTCCATTCAGTTAACTACACATCCCACAACACCCACGGCCCGACCTTACAAAATGACCCAGCAGCCCAACATCCATATATACAAAATTTTAGAGTCCGGCTTCCAATAAACCACTTCTCTCCGAGAAATTAGAATAAATATACTTAAATTACTTATCACGGAATGGAGCAAAACCTCCAATCTTGAAATTGTTTAATGTAATGTTATAATTAAGACGTTCTCAAATGGGAAATAGACATCATCTCTTACTTTTCTAGGGAAAAAA